TGCATTAACACAGTCAAATGTTTTAAGTTGCTAAATGAAGCAAATATAGAACTAAAATATTACACAAATCTAAAATAATAAGAAATAAGAGGGACTGCTATATATATATATATATATATATATATATACTAAGATACTTAGAAAATATAAATATATATATAAACATCAATATTGCTTTGATGTTCTTATAATCATGTAATATCTGTATTTCGACAGTATGTTGTTTTGTGTTGAAGGGTTTGCTGATTTTTACAATTACAAACTGCAACTTTTTGTGGATTTTCCACCATTAGTGGCTTTTAGATTATTTCAAACTAATAGCACCACCCACCATAAAACATCATCAGACTTTATAAAGTTGTTCAGCGGCGAAACCGTGCCGCACCCACACTAATTGCGCCGCATAAACGCATAGGTGCGCCGCATTTGCAGCTCAGTTGAGGCTCCCTCCGCAAGATGAGGCCCCCTCCGCGAGGTGAGGCCCCACGCAGTCTGCGTGATCTTCCTGTAGGGAGGGATGGCCCTGGTGATGTGTGACATGATTTAGATTATTTTCATTCAAAAGGGAAATGTCATTGATCAATGAAGATCGTATGTTTAATTATTTATGTGATTACAGATCCGTTTTGCCTGGGCCGTCTCACAACTTGCTTTATCTTATATCATCCTTTAACTATAAAAAAAAGGTTGTGCAATACCAGTGCTAATGTGCAATATAAACTTTATTTTTGTCACTCTATCAATGCTATTACTGGCTCCTTCAATCTCTTTTTTATGTTTACTTTTATGTATTTGATCTTATTTTTACTTTTGGCAATCATCACTACACTGTACCTTTGCTGTTTCCCCCACAGAATGACGACTAAAGGATCTGTGATTCTGATCAGCACTAACCCCTTTCTGAGACATGCAATAATATTCTGTTTTCTGCCTTGTTCATCCAGCTACTGCTTTCAGTTCATCTTCCGTGTATGAAGAACTTGCTTCAAACAGTGACCGTCACATGTCACTTTTGGGTACGAGATCACGTTATATTTGAAAAATACAGGGCTGCCGTGGCTCAGGAAATATATTGGGTCATCCTTTAGGCATAAGTCTGGCGGTTGGAAGGACCACTAGGGCGCTTCATGGAGTAGAAGTTTGAAGTCCCAACTTTTTATACCAAAATAAGCTATCATTCGCTAAAGCCTTACGGCCCGTCCACACAGCAGCGTTAAACAAATCTTCCAACGCTTCTGCCCATTCACTTTGAATGGGGTGACGTCACTTTGCCTCACTTTTCGCCGAACTGCATTGTGGGAAGCAAAGCGGAGATTTCCAGGCATCTACCAGTCCCTATTTACCTACCGGGATACAAACCGGAGGAGCCAGGCATGGAGGGAGGTGGCAGAGACAGTGGTAGGTTTTCGCCTGTTTGGGGAGTTTATATCCAGTTTACTTCGGGCTTTTTTGCTTCGTATGTCGGGGGCGGGAGATTAATGTGATTGGTTGTTGCTCGCATTGCTCGCAAAAAATCCCCAAGCTTCAGATACGCCCACCTCCAAGATTTTTTTAATGCTGCTGTGTGGACGTACCGTTAATGAGGTGATCATTTTATATGAATATTATGCAGAAAGTACAATGAAACATTGACTTTAATTAAATGTATTATGTCAACAGATTTCACCTAACTGTATTAGGTTAGTTGAAAGCAATAATATTAAGTTATATTATTAGGTTCAACTAAATAGTATTGCTTTTAACTAACCTAAGCAGTTTTTTTAAATGTGTTGACATAATGCATTTAACGTTAAGTCAACATTTCAGTTTTTCCTTGTTATTTAGTCTTTGGAAGGACCAACCTCGTAAAAGCATTCCGGCTAGCGGCTTGGAGGCTAAGTCTAAAAGAGCTCTGTTGATTCAAAGATTTATTGTAATGTCATATGCACAACTACGGTGTAATTATACAATGAATGAAAAACAGGTTCCTCAACAGTGCAATTAAAAGACCTACATTTTAATGAAAATAGTGCAAGCTCAGGTGTTTTAATAGTCTTCTGGCCTGTGGGATGAAACTGTCTCTGAGTCTGGTGGTTTTGTAGTCCAGATGCTGCAGTACCGCCCGCCAGACGGCAGCAGACAGAACAGTTTGTGGCTGGGGTGATGGGGTCTTTTATAATCCTGTGGGCTTTCTTCCTGAGCCTCTGGGAGTAAAGGTCCTCCATGGATGGCAGCTCCGTCCTGGTGGTGTGCTGTGCAGTTTTCACCACCCTCTGGGTCTTACGGAGAGATGGTCCAGGGAGTTATTCAAGAAGAGAATAACTGTCTCCGTGAAGACATCGCCCTGATAGAAATTGCATTCGATGAATTAAAGGGGACCTATCATGCAAAATGCACTTTTGTACGTCTTTTATACATGAATATGTGTCCCCGGTGTTCCAGGGAACTCACCAAGTGTCAGAAAACACAACCCTCTCTATTTTCCTCCATACCCAAATCTCTAAAAACAGGGCTGCAACGGATCTGATAAAAACTGATCCAGATTTGAACACTGTCCTGACGTCAGGACGGTGGCGCTACGGCTATTGGGCCAACTCTCCACCTATCAGGGGAATGTGGGGTTGGGCCACGGCCGGCCATTGCCGCTCGAAAGCGCTGGAGACGCTGTAGTACATATGCCAGGCCTGTAAGTGGCGCTGTAGTCTGCCACAAAAGCAGCGAAGAAGACTTCCCGCGCATGGTTGCCGTGGTTTCCCTTCTGTTTATTCTCCGCTGTGGCTTTTTTCTCCCTCCCCGAGGCAAGCGTTTGCTCCTCCTGCTGCTTTAATTCAATGCAATCCCTCCCGTCGAGGCAAGCACTGTAATTCTATCCACCCTCCCCGTCGAGGCAACAACTCCCTCCGGTTAGTCCACCAGCAGATGACAAACACCCACCTCTCCGCCTCTTCCAAGGAACGAGGGGACCGTGCGGCAGAGAGTTTCAGTTAGGTTTTCTTTCGCCGGTCAAGATGTCCGTTAAGGTTTAAATCTTCCGGACAAAATTAGAAAAGTGTCGGTCAAAGGTCTTCTTTGTTATTTATTGAGCTTTAAAACAAATGAATAACGACTCTAAATAATAATATAATAAAACACGGAGGACGGAGATCTATTTTTCTCCCCCTCTTCTGACTTGATCAGAGCACGCTCCCCTCTCCTGCAGGGGGACGTGGTCAGCTGCAGCTCACAGAATCAGCCCCCTGCAAAAACAGGGCTGGAGAACAGCAAATAGAGCGAAATGAGGCATGGCTAAAATGCATGATCTGTTTGGTATTTTGAAAACAGAAATGTATAAATATACCTTATATAGGTATGGCCCTACAATATATCATTTAAATATAGCATGATAGGTGTCCTTTAAGTGACAAGTTACGTAACCACGAAGAGGGGCTGAATGACTTGTTTGCCCAAGTGACCATAATTCTGAAGGTTCGATACCTGCTGCACTACATGTCAGTGTGTACTTGGGTGAAACATTTGACCGAGTGGCACCTGATGAACAGGTTAGCTTCTTGAAAGGCAGCTCTGCCACCACTATGGGTCAAAGAGGGGATCATTTTTAAGCACTTTGTCTGATAAGGTAGAAAGGCTACCACTCCAAGTTTGAATTAATTGCATTATAATGCATGCATTATTCATGCAACAATAACTTAACCACCTGACAGGATATTCACTGTGACAGTTAGCAAGTTTAAAGTGTTGCAAATGCTTTGACACTGCATATGAACTATAAAATCACTCAAGCCGATGAATTATCGGAAGGAAGGAACATTTTTAATTCAAAATCTTTAAATGCTTTAGAAAATTGTCAGTGTTAATGTTATAAGCACAAATTATTTTCCAAATAATGGATCAATCAACCATTTCCTATACAGAATCAATACCCTACTACATAACAGCACTTTGGTCCTTTTAATTAGTTGGGTTTGCCATCAGAAAAGGATAAATGCAGTCAAAACAGACATTGACAAAAAGAAGAAAAACAGACCACTGCACATTCTAGCTTTTTATATATTAATGCATATTACAGGATCAGGGTCTGATGGTCTGATCCCTAAAACAGGATGTCAGTCAAGATGACTCTAACCCCTACACGTGAAATCATTTGACTTTATGCCAGAGAAGAGCATGATGGATACAATTACACTGAAACATTGTGTCTCTCTTTCAAATGCATAGTGTTTAAACATGTTTTCATAAGGGATCGATCTTCTTCTTGTTCTTGTTCTTCCTTTTATATTTTTACTTTAACTCAATTTTTTTTGTTCATATCTTTATTTATTTTTTATCTTTTTTATTGAGTTTCTTTAATTCCTTGTGATTTTATTTGTATTTTCTTATGAAACATTCTTACTTAACTTCTCATGTTTATAAATATATCTTTATTTGTTGGGTCTTTGTATACACATTACGCCTTATGTTTCACAATCTATTATTCTCAAATGACGTCCCAGTTTCCCCCGGGATGAATACAATATTTTGATTCCCTGATAAATCCTATCAACATGTATTTTCCTATAGAATCAATACCTTCGTCCAGGTTTATTTTGAAAGTAATGACCGGAAGTCCCCCTTTAAAGACACAGTAACTTGTCAGGGACTGGTTTGCGACCCACCCTTCTCCTCCACGCTCCGTCCATCAGCGTGTCCTGCAGATCAGCGCGGGCTATAAGCAGCTCCCTCTCCAAGCCGCGGACAGAGAGCGTGTCGCGCAGAGACATGGACACGAGAGCGCACTGATCAGAGGACTGAGCCGCGGACCGCCAGCATTCCTGTGACAGAGACAACTGATGCTCGGAACTAACATCAAACACATCTGACAGATTAGCTCTGATCCTCCCGTTGAAGGACCAGGGCCAGCAGCGTGCACTTTACCAGTGCGCCTTTTGGCACTCGTGACGCGAGGACAAATGCTGTTTGTGATCACTTGCTTTGATTTGCGTTATTGATTTTCTACAGAACAGGACAGGATTATAACTCCCGCTTGGATTTTAAAAGTCATCTATTTCATCAACACCAACTTTTCTGATCGTCTGGAGATGGCGCAAAGGGTAAATCCTATATTGATGCATTTTATTTTGTCAAATGTTTTTGAACATGGGCATCGTTTAATGTATAGTTTATGCACTCACTAATGACGTGCAGACATGATAGAGTGTGAGCAAAAAAAGCTCCTTAAGCAAGTGGTTATACTATAGCCATACTCATATTTTCATGTATTTTCATGAACCCAATTGCAATGCCTTTTGAATGAAAATACATGAAAATATGAGTATGGCTTATAGTATGAACCACTTGCTAAGGAGCTTTTTAAATAATATAATGATCCACGCTTTTACCGTTGTTATTGTTTTACCTCTTCGGTCACATGCCCTATAATGTCATCTCCAACTCTCACCCCAGTACGATGAGCTGGCTCACTACGGAGGCGCCATGGATGGAGTCGGGGTCCCGGCCTCCATGTACGGAGACCCGCACGCCCCTCGGCCGCTGCCCCAGGTCCACCACCTGAACCACGGGCCGCCCCCCCACCCGACCCAGCACTACGGAGCCCACGCGCCGCACAACATCATGCCCAGCAGCATGGGCAGCGCCGTGAACGACGCACTGAAGAGAGACAAGGACCAAATCTACGGGTATGGACACATTATTATTATTATTATTTATATTTTTATTATTATTATTATTATTTGTATTATTTATTGTTATTATTATTGTATGTGTTTATTTTTATTTAGAGGAACTTAACAATTGCACATGTTGGATTTATATAATTAAATAGGCACAGCGACTCATTTCAAATAACAGAAAGCCAAACATTCCGCGTCAACATTTTTGTTTTTCCCTTATTTTTTAATATTTAAGTAATATATTTTCTCATTAAAATGAATTGTCAAAATACTTTTCTTTCCTGTTATAATGATATCATTATTTTCACTGCATAAAACGAGACAAAATACCCAATAGTGGCATAAAAATATCTGAACAGGTTGTTTGCATTGGAAACAGATGAGATAATCTCCCATATCAGCGGTTTTGCATTTCTCCTCTTGAATTAAGAAGGAATACATACATATTTGTTTCAGTTTGCAAAGCAGTGTTCTATTGTTAAACCCAGCTTAATGTGAGCTGTTATCTGCGCAGCTTTGTTGTACAGTAGGCGATAGTTCAGGCCTAACAATGGCCTGCAGACTAAGGCCTGTGTTTCTGCCTGCAGACACCCTCTGTTCCCGCTGCTGGCTCTGGTGTTCGAGAAGTGCGCAGCTGGCCGACCTGCACGCCCCGAGAGCCGGGTGGTCGCGGGGGGGACGCTGTTGCTCCTCCGACTCCTTCAATGAAGACATAAGCTGTGTTTGCCAAACAGGTATAGGAGACGCCAATGCGCAAATACGCAAGAAACACCTCAAAATGATGTATTTACATATCATATTCCATTTACTTATATGGACTCTTCTTGCACTATTTATATTGTATTTCTATTTACTTGCACATCTCAAAACATTCTCTTGCCACTATTTATCTGTTTTATTTGTTTTATATCCTATGTTGCACTGTTGGAGGAGCCTGTGACTTGAGTTTGTCATTGCCAAATCTACACTGTAGCTAATGTGCAAATGACAATAAAGCCTTGAAAATGATGGCGAATCTAAAAAGTAAATCAGTATAAAAGACACCAACTGACGCATTTTATTTATTTATTTTCTTCAGATCCGCGCAGAGAAACCTTTATTCTCTTCGAATCCAGAGCTGGATAACTTGGTGAGCATTTCCTTTTCTTTCTTCTTTCTTTCAGTTTAATTCTCCTGTTTTCGTGTTGCTCTGGACTTCACAGACTGGCTCAAGGCAACCTCATCATATCTTAATTTGCCTACAGGTTTTAAAACCAAATCATATTTACATGATGCTGGTATTGCACACAATCATAAGTATTGTGGCACCCCAGGCACCTCTCTAATAGCATTTCTTATTGTGTTATCATCTCATTTTCTTCTGGAGTTTAACATTTTTTTCCCTTATTTTTTCAGATGATTCAAGCAATTCAAGTCTTACGGTTTCATCTCCTGGAATTAGAGAAGGTATACAGGCTATTAGCTAAGCTTTATAAATGCAAATAGTGCCATATTTAATCATATCATTGCATATAATATGTAATGATCCTGATGCTCAGACTGTGAGAATCTAAATGAAACACTGGACTTTGCAGGTGCATGAGCTCTGCGATAACTTCTGCCACCGGTACATCAGCTGTCTGAAAGGCAAGATGCCCATCGACCTGGTCATAGAGGACCGGGACGTCTGCAAGTCTGACTTTGACGACCTCTCCGGGTCCTCCACCAACCTCGCAGAACATGTGAGTCAACCTGCCTGCCCAGAATTCATAAAAAGTGTCAGCCTACATCACTGCGCTCTCTCTTAGCAGGTCTTGAGAAGCAGTAGCTGCAGGAGGATTATTTTTTTAGCATAGGGCCTTCTTCTGATCGTAAAGTGGTCCTTTCTAAAATGTTATCATGACTACTTGTGAGCAATTTGGGGATGCTTTGCCACATGGAATAATATTTGCCTTTTTAACTCCGCTTACATCACTTACTGGAAGGTTGAAATGCTCCAGGCCTCAAAGAAAGATTCAGATAAAACAAATTGTGAAAAGTCCCTGTTTTTGTGCAAGAAGACATTGCTTCATGTTAGGAGGTCATAAAGCAAAAGGCTTGAGACTCGCTGTAGACCAAAGCATTTCTCAACTATGGCATTTCCTTCTGCCTTTTTATTTGTGAAACTCCCTAACTGAAGCATCTATTTTTAGAATTAAATATTTACCCTTACACCAAAAGGTATTTTAACCTATTACAATATCTGATCATTCTAATGAAACAGGATGCACAGTTGTTGGGTTGGGTAAGGTCTTGGTGGCTTTAATGAAACCAAGCCTTGTTGTTCTTGTTTTACTGTTTGATGGCCTGTCAGTGCTGTGCAGAGCCTTAGCCGAAAATCTCAGCTCTGTTAAAAATAATCATAATATGGACAGTTGAGATTTATTTTTTTCACGATTATTTTGGGCCAGTTTAGCCTTAAGCTGGATTCAAACCTGTGTCCGTCACAGCAGGAACTGAGCCCCAGTACATGGGAACAGTACAGAAGTGGTTTAAATCATATTTAATGAGGTGTTGCAACTTTATTTATCTATTGATTTATAAGGTAGACACAATTGATGATGATGATGATGGTGATGATGATGTTGTTGATGATGATGATTGTTGTATATATAGCACAAAGTGCAGCTGCAAGTGCTGTGTTTGCTGTTGGGCTTCAGTCCCCTCTCAGCCAATAGGATTATTATAGCGACAGTGCGGGGGCTCTTTGTCAGGCGGCCCCCCCGCTGTGGGCTTTACACAGTCCTTCCTACTTTTGGCACCTGTGTACAAAGAAACAAATTCAGATGTTGAAGTGATTGAGAGTTACAGTGTAGCATCAGCAGTGTTGGACCCTAGGTTTATCGACACAATGCTATAGCTCAGACTGAACACTTCAAACTTTATATTTGAATGTTTCATGTCGGATAGCGGTTCTAGTATCATTCCCTTTTGATTTGAAGGGAAATTCCTCCATAGATGATAGACTGTAATCTGAGCTCTGGTTCTACAGTTTTTAATGGAGTAATGTGTTTTAGTTGATCTTATTTTTTTTTTTTTTTAAATATTCAGGATGGGGATAATAAGTGTCAAACTTGAAAAAAAAAAATCCAATATTTTCTGTAAAATGAATGTCAAGGCTACGTACAGATCTCTTGAAAATAGAATAAAAAACACTTTGGTTCAAGAGAATTATGAAACCTATAGCGCTATATTACGTGCCAGAAAAAAGGCTATAAAACCCTGGCTTAAAGGCTGTTTTAGTTGGATTTATTTTGAATAAAACAAGATACAAAATATAGTCTCGAGCTTTAGTGGAAGCGTCAGCATGGACTTTGGTTATTTCATCAACATACATTTTCTTTGTTCTTGAGAATGCATCAAGCAGCCACACACAGTGCACATGTTTTACGTGTGTGTGTGTGTGTGTGTGTGTGTGTGTGTGTGTGTGTGTGTGTGTGTGTGTGTGTGTGTGTGTGTGTGTGTGTGTGTGTGTGTGTGTGTGTGTGTGTGTGTGTGTGTGTGTGTGTGTGTGGCCACCAGTTGATCTGACAGGACACTCTCCTGCTGTATTGCCTTCCTCCTAACGGCTGTTGCATAATGGATGTGCCGCCGCTCTCCTCTGGGTACAAAGACATGCACATACATCTGTGTAACGTACATGCATGTTAACGTTAAGTGTACCACGATCTGTTAATCATTCACAAGGGCTAAAGCAGCGTGTTTGAGTTTACAGGTATGTTTGTGTGTAAAACCGACATTTGATCATACGTTTGATGGCCTGGCCAGGTTCTATCCATTGTCACTGTAAAGGCTCATTTGGCCTGAAAGACCTGATTGTTCACTTTTTTATCCCAGCAAAAAATCCCAATTGAAACATTTACTCTATTGAGTCTGCAAATGTCATTTCCTCAAATCAGAAGTCCAGCAGTAAGAATGTATTTGTGTAGGTTTCCAATTTTAAACAAGTAAGAAACTAATTGAGGGCGTAATTATTTTCTAGAAAATAACAGAATCATAAGAAACTGCACTGTGTACAAAGTTAGTTTATATTGTTGTTATAAAATAAATACACCTGACAGATGAAATGATTATTAATTCAACACTTGTTTGGCCTGTGTTTCAATATTTGAAAAATATACATTTCAACCACATTTACATTTCAAATATACATACATTACATTACAAATACATTTAAAATATACATACATTACATTACAAATACATTTAAAATATACATTTCAACCACATTTCAACACCTGATTACAAGAAATATGATTACATATTATGCAAGAATGATCTGTTGACAGAATCAAAGCAAGGACCTTAACCCTAACCCTAACTGGTCATTGCTTCAGACATTCAGACCAACTCCTATGGTCAACAGAAGCAGCCTAACACACTGGGATAGTCAACTTTGCATACAACTATACATCAGGAATATGTAACGACACAAACAGCCACAGGTCTTTTAGGTGAGGGCACAGAAAAACAACTCTCAACAGTAAACCCCAACCCTAACCCTTACTATCCATGGTCTTTAGTGCCATTCATTTAGAAAGCTTTAACCCTCAAAGTAACCCAAATGAAGTCATTATATTAACCTAAGAGTGATTCTAGCCAATAGTTTAGCTGGCAGATTAATAATGGTTTAATCCCACCCAGTTTGAGTCGTGATTTTGCTCAAAAAACATACCTCTAATCACAATATTTGCCATGTTTGGAAAAAAAGATAAAGCTTGTGTATACTATTATTAGTACATTTACTATTTTTAGTTTGCTGCTGTCTCTACAGAGAGTTTCCTGGATAACAAAGAGAGGACATTTGCCACTGTATAGTTAACACAAGCATAAATCTTTGGTAGAATTATCTTCATTTGTGAATGAATCGTATACACATTCAGATCCTGGCAGTACACTACTTTCCATTTCTGTTAATTGGATTTTAACAGATGGGGTGTTGAGAAATAAGACCTTCATTAGCTTGATAAACGTGGAAACACATGGCGCCTCTTTGAGTAGCTGTGTGTACTTAGGAGTTGTAATTATTGGGTGGCTGGGTAAGAAAAGAGGGGCCATCATTGAGAGGCCTCGTTCACACTGCGCCATTGTCCCCGCGCTTCTTGTTGTCATCTGCCGAGCTCTTCATCTGATCACCATCCGGCAAACAGCTGACGCAGAGAGGCTGAAGAGGCAGATCTGCTGTTTGGTTTGGGCTCAGGCTGTCTGAGTGGCCAGGCCCATCGGCACAATAAATACAGGGTCTGTCCCCGACTCAGGTCACAGAAACATCCAGACTCAGAAGGGTGCACATGCTGCAGGTTCACCACTCCATCCTCTACAGACTTGCTGATTCTCTTTCGGAAACTACATTTGAAGCTCATTTTGCAACAGAATGGTAATGTCTTATATTTTTGACAATTTCCTACACTGAACAAACTGAAACATTGACTTAACGTAACACATTTCACATAACTGTATTAGGTTAGTTGAAAGGAATAATATTAAGTTGAACTTACATTATTTGTATTTATACTTAATATTATTGCTTTCAACTAACCTAATACAGTTATGTGACATTTGTTGACATAATACATTTCATTGAAGTCAACATTTCTGTTTCTTCAGTCCATGTTAATCAAGCAGCTGTCTTTGTGTCTTTGGGAAACTGCATAATGGAACTCATACTGGACCCTAATGGACCTTCCTCATCTTTTTCCCCCTGTCCTCTCTTCTTCTCCCCTGTTTCCTTATCTCCTGTCCCCTGGTGTGCGGACCTCTTCCTGACCTCAGAACCCAGCGTCCTGGAGAGACATGGATGACGCCCACTCCACGCCCTCTGTGGGCACCCCGGGTCCGTCCAGCGGGGGACACGTCTCTCAGAGCGGGGACAACACCAGTGAACTCGGTAAGAGCCTCCTGCGTCCTCTTTCATATCAAAGCTTTGACTTTCCTGTGACCTCTCTCTGAGGCAGGGTGACTGGGGGGGATCCCTTTCAAGAAAGTTCATGCACTCATTTAACTTAATCACTTTATCTTGATTGCATTGATAGACACAGATAATCTGAAGCCAGGCAGGACTGCTCTTGCAGGGATTTAGTCTTACTGTAACCCTGGCATGCGTCAATCTGCAGCGGAAAAAAGTTGCTGATAAATGTCTTCCTGTTTGCTGAAAACTGCAGTTGCCTCAGGAAATTACTAAGCATTTTGTTTTTCAAAGGAAACTGTATATCTGTGAGCCATTTGATTATACATGTATGTCTTCTGTATGTACCAATAGGCTTTTGGCTGAGTGCTATCAAGATAACTTCTACCAATCAGGACAGAAAGGCATTTATATATTTGTATGCAAGGTTAGGAGTCCAAGCAACATTGTATCATATAGGAAAACATTTACATTGTAAATACCAATTCATTCGTAAAAACTGGTAAAAAAACGTAATTTTAGATTCATTGCTTGCAAATTTGACTACTTTTTACAGCAAGAAACGGAAAACAATGCACAAAAGATTCTCTACTCTCCCCTAAAGTGTAATCCTGGTGGTGTAATTCTTCTAAATTGTATCTACAGAACATTTATTCGGTCATGATTTGATTTATCACACCTCTTATTCTAAAACCTCTGCTACAGGCTTGATTAAGAAACAATCTCAGAACAAACGCACTGTTGGTTTTGTCTTTTTTAATGGGATTTGTTGACAGTAAGAAAATGATTTATACTTTGATGTAATAAAAACATCAACAGGTCTATTAATGTTGATTTTAACATGCAATTGTGACTCCAACTTTATGGTCTCAATTACAGGTCAGTTAGCGCTGATGAAGAGATCTTTTGAATTCACTCAGCTGTCTGCTGGTATTATCTGCCACTGTCCCTGGGATAGCATTCAGCCCGCTCCTTCTTGTGTCGCCCGGGTGTTCCTGCGCTTAATGTGATTTCTGATGTGCTAATTGGAGGCTATAAGGGTTTTATGGCTTGTTTTTGTTTTTCTCCCCTTTGGGCGCAGTAAAAATAGAATGGACTTTAAAGCAACTTTCCACCCTGTGCCCATCAGGCATCAAGGAGCAGAGCATTGCAGAGAACAATAGGAGGATGCTTTGCAAGACAAGAGAAACTCAGGATTAAGAGACATCAGAAAGGGATCTTTTGAAAATGATTCAACCTTCCCAACTCAATTCAAGTCACCCTCAGAATTTGACATGTTAGTTTTGGTAAATCTTAATCCAACCATTCAGTTTCCAGGATTTGTATGTTGAGGCGAGCCGAGAAAGGCCACAGGGTGAATAGCTTCTTTCCTTTAGGCTTCTTTTAAACAACAGAGGGGGAAAACCCAAGGTCCCTGCCCTTTTGACCTGCGGGAGAATGCATAGGGGATGGGAGTGCAGAATGCCCCCTGAAGGGATGTAAGGACAGAGTACTTTATGTATGAGGAACAAAGGGAGAGAAGAAGGCAGAATGATCAGAGCTGTGGTTGCTGCTCCAGGATCTGCTGCATGCTACCTGCTGCTTCTCCCCGGGCCTCTCTGCCTTGTTTCCAGTCTATTCTCATGCCGGGGAAGCACACACACACACACACCCTGAAAGGCCCAAAAAGGACAGCTAGAGGCGTGTCATGCTAATCTGATTTGGAGCAGGTAGATGGCCTCTATTGAGTTGTAAGATAGGGGTCGTATGGAGATCATCACATGTTTAGGGGAGTTTCATGCTTTGAAGAAATCTGACTGAAGCAGAGTAATTTATTAACTCCTGAGGAAGTTGGGTTTCGTGACAGTTGCTCCATGTTAGAATTAAATAAATAAAATGGAATACAATGTTTAAATATAATGAAATGTAAGATAGGAAGTTACAGTAACGCATTGACATTTTCAAGAAATTGCATTCATATTAGGGCTTAAACATTTGGAAAAACAAACTAATAGCGATTATTTTTGAGTGATGTTGCAATTGCGATACTATTTAGTAAGTAGTTACTATCATAGTTTTATATTAAATGATTACGGTTTGATCTTTAATAACATATGTACCAAACAAAAATAGATGCCAGGATATCTCTGCAGCTCCACAGTACTTTATTCAAAAAGGCTATTTAAACACTAAGCCTTTTGACAAATGCTTACTGTGAATGGAATATTGCACTATTCCATATTGCTATTTCGATCAAATATGATTCATTGTGCAGCCCTAATTCATATGGCACCAAACTGCAATAAAAAAAATCTGATCCAATTGAATTGCCAGTGCAGGAAATAGTGTGCCCTTGTGTAAATTCGAAGAAGTTGGATGGTCGTCATGCTTCACGTGGGCCATCACAAACAACAGGGTGACATCATGATCATGATGTCCTCAAAATACTTCATCCAAAATCATTATTAAAGTTACAAATGTAATGTCACTCCAACAGAGCACAGGAAGTAATGGTTGAGTTTGTTCTAGTGGCATGTTAGTAATGCTACCATGGTCTGATGCAACCTTTTAAAAGCCACTGTCATTAGGGAACACTTCAGTGGTGGTGATGTGGCTCCCAGCCCGGCTAACCACAAGTAGAGGATCCACGATGTGTTGCTGGTGGTTTGGGCTGAGGCTCCTCTGAAGCTCACAGGTTTTGGTTGTTGCCTTGTAAGCTGTGTGATATGCAGAGAGGGCTCTCTTTGATAGCTCAACCCCCAGGGTGACGGCTGTTGACCACAGCAAAAGGGGGCTGAGCTCTTCAAGGAATGTGTGGAAGGGGGGAGAACAGGGGGGGGCTGGAGATGTCCATCACAAAGACCCAAATGAAACAAAAGGCAGTGGGAGTGACTCGGAAATATCCTGCACACATTCGCGTTGAGAAGTGAGATGTGAGGAACAGGATGTGTTGCATCTTTTTGTCACATCCAGAGCCCGCGGTCAGGGGCAGGAATGTGGGGAGGTGGAGGTGCTGACATGCCGATGACATCACAGCTCCACTGACACCGCGGGCTAATGTGCCTTTAGCATCTGTCATGCTGTGGATGTCAGAAATGTTTCAAAAGGGAGCGAAGAGAAAGGGATGCTGGGTGTAAAGGGAAAGACATGTGCACATTGCTGTGAATGCTCACACAGAAAACAAGTCATTATTTACTTAAAAACAAAGGATAAATAGCTGTATTTGATGTACTTAAAGTCTGGTGTCTGGTGTTTGGTGGGCTTGTTTGGTCTTCACCATTATTTTAGGGTATCTTTTTAGTACATTTGTAGCGATATGTATTGTTTTAACCCCAATGCATTGGATGTGGATGGAATTTCATTTGTGCAGGGTTAGGGTTAGGGTTTTCAATGCTGTCAACATCACATACGTACTTCTGTTCAACTACAGATTCAAGTAATGTTTCTATTTTAACCAATCCTTTTCAACCAAATTATGAATGTTTTGTTACATAAAAAAACTAAACAGGGAGTCAGTTTTTTTCCAAAGAATCAGATTCATGACCTGTCGTCCGCTGTACAATTCTTGTGTATGCCCAAATTAGATTTTCCCATATATTTATATAAATCCTTGTCCTTATGAACCTTGCCCAATAATGCCCTTAAATGTGATAAATCTCTAAATGACAAATGCAAATAGATTCAATCAATCAATGTTTATTTATATAGCCCAATATCACAAATGTTACATTTGTCTCAGTGGACTTCACAGTTTGTATTGGATTTATAAATCAAGGTATTTGATGATGCCAGCATGCAAACTGCTTGCTTTAAAGAGTTGCATCTTCCCATCAGCTGCTTCTTATCGTCATGTTTCTCAAACAGAGGATTCCTCCTGTCTTGGAACCCTTCCAGACTGCTCCATTCAGAGCTGTGTATCATGTCTAATAAGGGGAGGAGCCCCGAGGTGTCACTGATGATGGATCAGGCCCCGCTGAGCTCATTAGACAGGCTGCGCTGGCTTTGCATCACTGATGCAGCGGAGAGCCGCAATCAGTTCGGCTAGCCGCTCCGCACTCCATCTTACGGACGCTTCATCCACCAATACCTCAGCCAGCAGCAACAGAGCACAGAGTGAAGAGGAGACGAGAGAGGAAATACAACCGTTTCAAATGTCAAGAGTATGCAACACATTTATCCCGACATGTGCATTCATACATTTTCATTTTCTTGAAAATTTGAAAAAGAAACATCAATTGAAGACACATATAGTATGTAATAAATAACTTACTAAAAGATAAAAAAATATATATTATAGTCTCGTTATGTATCAGAATGAGAATACTTTATTAATCCTGGGAGAAGTTGGTTTTCGTGACAGTTGTTCCATTTTGGAATACATTTTTTTTTTTTTATATTTATTATACAATTCATCATAAAAAGTATTTATGTAAAATAAGAACTTAAATGAGAATACAAATAAGAATTTAAATAAGAATATAAGAATTTAAATAAGAATAGCATGCACTAAACATACAATAAAACAAAGATATTTATAGTATTGCACTACAACAGGTATATTACAATATTTACAGCAGTGTATTGGTATCAATAAATGCTAAATTGCACAGTTTAAAAGGGTTTAGCTTGCTGATGGTGAAGTAAGACCTGTACATACATCATAATCAGCCCTTTGGCAAAGATCTTATATAGCTCAGAAAGCCACAATGTTTAATTGAGTAAGAGATTCTTTATCGAAATGAAGCATTCTTCGTCAAATGTAGCAAAATGAAGACATCAATTTCTGTAGTGTTTATAATATCAAATGGCAAAAAAAGGAAACAAATATTAACACTGAGATGGAATGGTCTAGACTAGAATAGAGGTATATAGCAGAGGCTGGAAGAGTAGGAAGACTCTTCATATCTTGAGGTGCTGTTTTTGTGTGTGTGTTTTCTTCATAGCCCCGGGGCAATACTCCAGCCATCCCTGCGGAAATGCCCTCCATCTACGCCCCCCCCCCCCTTCACCTACTGTGCAGACACTGGCAGGCATGGTGGAGTGGGAGGTGGGGGTGGGGGGGTTTCGAGAGAGAAGAGGGGGGCAGGGGGGAAGGGGGGGGGGGCATGGGACACTTGCACGGGTGTATGACTTTGAGACTGCACCGTCACACACTGGTTAGATTGGCCGAGTTGCCGGGGAACAGTCAGTAGCGATTAGTGTAGCGGAGGATCTGCCCTGCGGCTCTCCCCTCTCTGGAGCAGAAGAAAGAGGGATGAAGAGAGGAGAGGAGGTGGACCAGGGTGGGGTGTCGAGGGTGGGGGTTGGAGGGGAGGACAGCGTGCCTTCCTCAGATATAATTAGGCTGAGCAAGTTCTGTTTCATCTTCTCTTTCTTTCTTTCTTTCTTTCCATCCTTTACTTTTTATGATCCTTTGTGTAACCACATGAACTTTATCTTGATGTGCTCAAGATGAAAAAAGACTATACTAGTAGGCCTATAGTTCAATTTAGAATGCAAGTGGTCTTTTACTCTTGAACTAGAGATGCTAGCTAGAATCATGCTAGATGCTAACTGATTATCTCATGAATTTTATGAAAAAGGTTTTGAAAGTATTGATATGTCAATCACGTTTGACATAGTGTTCAAACTAATATCTACATTTTAAAGTCGCTATCTTTGTGAGTTGCAATGTCTATTGGTATTTTTCTCTACATTGATCTAGCTAGGTCAATGTTAATGCTAGCTAGCATTGATCTAAGAAGTCAACAGTGAAGTGTTTAAGAAGTTGACATCCCTATTGTTGATCTCTAACTTACCTAAGGGAACATTTGCCCAGAAAGACTAGTTTAATCCACAGGCTGTAGAAGAGGTGGAGGACAGAACACACGAGTGGACAGAGGAACTGTAAACCCTGTACCCTGTCCGGGACTTCAAGCTGGTTACCATCGGTCAAAACTCCCACAACCCCCAGAGCCCACGACCCTAGAACACATCCTTTTTAATGTCAATATTCATTAGCTGAAATATTTATGCATGAATATGGCTCATATAGGCGCGTTTGATTGATGCATCTCCAAAAACAAAAAGACATGCTAGGGCAAATCTTAAGAAAAGTAGGGTTCCTGTCCCGCCTCGGGGGAGGAGTCTCTCAGATGCATTATTCACATGCCCTCCAGGCAAGCTTTCAAGGCTTCTCTGCCTCGAGGGCAAGAAAAAATAACCACCACTGTTAAAAGTAAATCATCTCGGCTGATGCACAATTAATGGTGGAGAGGGAGCGGGAGCGGAGTGCCCGTTGTGTTGCGAGAGCGAGAGAGTTAGCTTGCAGGGGCGGAAACCTGAGTTTAAAGGAAGCCTCTTGCCTCGATCTGGCTGAAATCAAACAGGGATGCTGCTAATGGCAGGATCCGAAGCCCGGCATGAAATCCAAAACTGATGTTGTCAGTCTGGGGTCGGGGCGGGGGGGGGCAATACACACATGGGAACCCACCCCCCACTCTATTCTGCCTTAGTAACTCAAACGAACGCCTTGTTTCTGATATCAAATAGCACAAGGTTTGATGCTTTTGTCTTAGTATTTCATCTCAGGCTTTGTTTGTCCTTCCTTTTACATATAAGCTAATGATTATTCTTGTTTCAAACAAAGGCCACGTCAAAATATCAGTACATAGCACTGAGTCAGACTGCACTTTGAACGTTCATTATTTCATGTCAGACGCACAGCTCCCGCAGTCATTACCTCATGTCAAACGCGTGGCTCAGATTGAGTTAATAGCTCAGGGTTTTATTGAGCTCCCACACTACAAACTCCTCTTCATTATCCGATGGCCGGGGAGTCAAGAAGAGGTGAGAGGAAGAATCTTGTGCCGCCGTGCAATCTTCCTCTGCCCTTTTAGGAGGATGAAGGCGACAGGGCCAAATGAAAGCTTCCTCGTAATGTGACTCCTCTTCTCTCTGATCACAGGAGACGCCCTCGACAACAGCCTGGCATCTCCGGGCACGGGAGACGAGGATGACCAGGACAAGAAGCGGCAGAAGAAACGAGGCATCTTCCCCAAAGTAGCCACAAATATAATGAGAGCGTGGCTCTTCCAGCACCTTACGGTAAGGGAATGTACCCCAGTCCCTTGTGTAAATCACTCTCCTATACAAGCTACATCGAGCTATCGCCTCATAGAAATGAAACCGGTCCACGGTTTGTACAGAAATCAACATCAGAAGCCTTTCATTCAGTAGATGAGGGGAGCAAGACGCAAAGAGGGGAGCGTTACCTTTTATCCAAAGTCCAAAAGATACAACCGTCACGGCCCCATCAGTGTTCTATCTGTCCCGCTTTTAGATGTGTTATAACCCCTCAGTTGTTTAGTTGGTAAAAGGCCCATACACGTCCTGTACTCGGAGTAATCCTTTCCTTTCCAAAGCCCACCTTTAGATTTTCCAGATGAAAAAGGGGGATAATTGAATTATCCCCTCTCTGTTCCCCATTCCCTTTCAGGCCTAATTTGTTAAGCACAAGTGTTTGCCATGGCAGGATGTGTCTATGAAAAGTGTGCAAGGGGACTTTGGCCCCTGAAAGGCCCATTGCAACACCCAAGCGATCAAGCATTCATCAGTCGTTGAGGGTGTGAAAAGAGCGGGATTATGTTTTGTCAGACGTTGCACTGTGAGGCCCGCAGTTGGACGGCCGTTGGGGGGGTGTTTCTGTCCACCTTTAGCCGTAGCCTCCTGCCTTTGTTGTCCATTCTGAAGACCCTTAAAAGATCCCCTTCGGAGGAAGCTATAGAGAAAGCAGCTGTGAAAGGTTTCGATTCATTATATTATTCATTACCGGCCCATTAGCCTGGTCGTAACTGTTGGTTTCCATGCAACCCTGCATTTATCCACATTAAAGGATTGATGCCAAAGAGTTTGGGGAGCAAACCTGGGATCCACTCGAGGTCACAAGTGTGGTATCAAAGTCAGCTGAAACGTCATTGTTTTCTCAGTTCAGATAAAAGATTGAATTGGTTGTTTTTCTGTAACAGTCATGCATCTAGAACATGGAAAAAATATCAGATTTGTTTTGGATGACCCTCAGTTGATTAAACACGATAAAATATGTTTTGTTACTGGTTTTACCATCAAATGTCAGACTAGGTCTCTGGCGGCATCTTGAGAAGAAATGTGGCCACATTTTGATTGTAGTATGTATTATTTTCCTAGCAGCATTATGCGCTCATGAGGTTTCAGGTTTGACACCTGTGAGTGTGTGTGTGTGTGTGTGTGTGGTCAGTTGAAGGTAACACAATCAATTGACAACAACCACGTTTTTTTAAGGACAAACACCTGACCAGTTGTGTTCATCAACGACAGCTGGAAGACAGTGTTTTATATTGAACATGTGCTGCCATTTAAACAGACCCTGTTTTTATTGTGTATAAATATGAATCATCCATCCTTATACATCAGAGATCTGTGTGTGGCTCGAGACGGATACAGAATGACCAGAAACGTCTGCATTTGCAGCTGTTGTGCTTACTGACATGTCATTAACATGCGACAGGATGAGATCAATGAGCGTCCAGTGTGTTAAGGAGTTGGTGTAGGACTAAGAACGACTGTAGCTTTCATTATCTTCTTGCTTTTTGACTTTTACAAGGCTCAGAATATACAGTATGTTTGATGTTCAATGATAAACTAGCAACATATGAAAGAATTACAAACTCATTATTAAAGACTGAAGATCTACAGCTCAGTTTTAGGAAGGTAATAGTGTGTCTTTAAATATTTTAGGAAATTTCTTTTTCCGTTGTTTGGACCTCTGACTTGAGGGAGGAGTTTCAAGTAATCTGTCTCCTGACTGTCAGCTGCTGAGCTTGGGGCCATTTTTTTATTTGCTCCAGAATACACTCTCATCCCATTATGCGTGTGTTTATATCTAACATTAGTGTGTAAGCACATTTGTGTGTCTATTGTTGCACCTTTTCCTGCTTTTGTTATATGCATTTGTGTGCTTTGGTGTGTATGAATGCGCGATAATGAGTGTCTGCATATGCAAGTGTATTGATATATATGCATGTCTGTGTGTGTTGTGTGTGTGTGTGTGTGTGTGCACTTAGCCTGAAAGGCGGTTTAAAAATGAAGTGCTTGGAAGCTCATCCTTCACCGATGACCACAGGAGGCGGCTGCTGGCCTGACAGCAGCAGAATGGGGACTGGCCCACGACCCTACTCCCAGTACAGGGATCACCTCTGTCTACCATCTGCCGCCCTCCTCCCACTGCCTACACACACACACACACACACACACACACACACACACACACACACACACACACACACACACACACACACACACACACACACACACACACACACACACACACACACACACACACACACACACACACACACTCCCACATAGAGCCAGAAGCCATGGGATCAGGGCCGGAGGACAGGGACATGAAGCAGGGCGGGGAGGGGTTGGAGGGTGACAGGGGGCCTAACCTTATCGGGGCCCCGAACAAAAGCCACCATTGTGCCTCTTTATATCCCACCCGATCGTTTGTCAAGCAATGTCAAATAATGTCAAATACTGTCACACAATGGCACGCGCTTTTTGCATGAAGTGTTCGGGGGGCCAAACCGTGCCCAGCGTCTGTTTCTCCAGAGCCAAATTGTGAACTTCAGGAGTACCTGTGCACGAAACAGACTGGTATAGAATAATACCGTTCTTCCTGAGTGGGAGTATTCACACCTGGATGAATGCAAGCCGCATCCGTATTGGTTGATGGAGACGTTTGTTGATTTTCAATTATTAAAAGTTCTATATTTGTGTCCCCCACAGCACCCGTACCCCTCAGAGGAACAGAAAAAGCAGCTAGCACAAGACACAGGCCTCACCATCCTTCAAGTGAACAACTGGTAAGTCCATATACAACTTGAGATGATATTTCTTTGCCGCTCTAATCCTTTGTCAAAATCTACCGAAGAGTTTGCTTTTTAAGTCTATCAGCTCTTTTACAGTACTAAAGGCAACCACTGGCTTCAGTAAAGACTCTCCAAAACCGATCCCAGCATGCACCCTGCCTCCTGTCTGTTGGTGACTGTATCGATGGCATAACATTGGCAAAGCAGTTAGCCTCATCACAGCCTAAGGCTATAGGGCTTAACCCAAAATCAATACATTTTTTAGGGGAGCACTTTCTCCTAATGCCCCAGGTTATGTCAATAGGAATGAAGTCGATTATTACTCATATCCCTGGAGACACACAGTGGGGTCTAGTTCTTCAAATGCTGCCCAATAAAATGTACAGTTTTTGTAAACGCCAGATATTCTTTTTACAATAAGACCAATATCCGACAAAGCAGGGTGTGCCAAAAAGAACAAAAGGGACTGTTCAATTATTTGATGTGATCGAATGTGACACTTATTTTGAATGTCTTATTTTCAGAAATATTAGATGGTTCAGCTGATCTTTACTGATGATCTGATTCCTTCAACAAAAGCTGTACATAGAGAGTTTAAGACTGTAATATGGGTACTATTATATCTCAGAGTTTACTTACGTTGGGCCCCTAGTAAATTAAACTTGTAATTATCACCAAAAATATATTCTTTCTTATGACATATTAGCAAAGTTAATTGGTGGGATACTGTAAAGACCCGGAACCCTTAAGTTAACAGTATTTAATCATGTGCAAATGTAGGTATGCTGACTATAACTCGTTTTTGGTTTTTTGATTTCCACCTGAGACTCTTTCACCTGTTCAGCATAGTTTCCACCTGAGACTCTTTCACCTGTTCAGCATAGTTATACTGTTTCTCTTTTCACAGGTTTATCAACGCAAGGAGGAGAATAGTCCAACCTATGATCGACCAGTCCAACAGAACAGGTAAAGATGCAGTCCATCAAGTGTTGTCAAAATGTGTATTTATGTACAACTGAGTTGTCTTAATGATATAATGTTAAATCCACTGCAGCTACAGAGTGGCTACTAGAGTTCAATATAGAATGATACAAGAGATAATTATAATAATATGAACTTTGGAGTATGGATAGTATGAAGGAGGCGGTACAGAAAGTGGAGGAGGCTTTGCTCACTCTAACAGTCTTGCTTCTCCTCTCACAGTGAGTCAGGGTAACGCCTACAGTCCAGATGGCCAGCCAATGGCAGGCTTTGTTCTTGATGGGCAGCAGCACATGGGTCTCAGACCTGGAGGTAAGCAATCGCTCATACATGTATCAAACTGTCAAAGGCAAAATCTATTATCTTCTGCTTATGGTCGGCCTGGTTACAAACTATAATGAATAAATGCATTAGAACCAATGATAAAGGTAGTATACTTTTATAGCTGAATAATGGCCTCAACAGAGTTCTGAGTAGTCCGTCATCTTGTTGCTTTTGTTTCAACTCCTCATTCCAGGGCCGATAGGTGGCATGGGTATGAACATGGGCATGGATGGACAGTGGCACTACATGTAAATCCACTCCACTGAGGCACGCCTGAAAAACAGGGTGAAGTGAGTACTCCATCTCTGGCTTCATTTGTAGCAAAAGGACCAATTTCACTATCACTCACTTGTCCACTGATTGCATTCATATTGCATTCATACTTTGACTCCAATGCAACCACTAATGGATTCATTATCTCCCCACTAGAATAAAGTGGTAGAGGAATGAGTCCTAAAACCCGGAGAAAGATCTAGCCTTTTAGCACTTCCTGCTCCCTCGTCTTGAAGTCAACTGTGTTTTGGACGTGTTTTTGGTTAGACTCCTGAAATAAGTTCTAGGGTTAAGATTTTTTTCTACAACATCAGTAAATACCCCACTGGTAAATGTATGAGCTTTTATGTGTCATAAAAACAGCTGTTGCTAATTAAGTAAATAAGACAACTACACGTCATCACGCCGAACATTAGCCACCATTAGTTTGTTTATGGCCAAACATTAGCTTCTAACTTCTGGGGATTGCATTTACGCTTTGAAAAAGATATAAATATTGTTAATAAGTGGAGATTATCTGGCTTTTCAGCAATATCCTGAAATCTAATGGAAAATTGCCATTGCTTTTTGTTGAGGGGGCCTTGCGATGCTAAATGCTTGATGGGCCTACACAAATATGTCCTTACTGCACCATATTAAGTCCTGACTAGCAAATCGAAGAATAATTAAGATTATTATACCTGGCCTATAAACAGATTTTGTATCAAAGTGGGGGGAACTATCTTTAAAGATAGAAAAACCCTGTGTGGGGAAACACATTCCTCTTCATCACTCACACCACTTCATTTTCTCTCCATCACTCTATCTTCTTCTTCCTCCATTTTATTTCCTCCATCTCTTCTCCCCTGGCAATCTGATTAAGAATCGGGGTACTTTTCCTCCTCCACCCCCTCTTCCTCCAGCCACTATCAGCTCCTCACCTCTGCTGACAGTTCTCAAATCAAGACGTATCGCCTGCCGGAGGCACCCGAGCACAGAGAATTTTATTTAACACCCACTCTCCACTGCTCAATGAGCCACGCTGTAATGACACTTACCTTGATTAATAGAGCTCTTTATATGTAAATAGGGGCTGCTTTTGCTTCATTCTTTTTTTCACTGGGGCCAATTTTCGCCAACACAGCCCCCTGTCCCCTGTCTGATCATTCCCCCAGCTTTGCTAATGAAGTTCAAAGAGCAGATTGTGACGCTTCATCTAGAAAAAAAAAGAGAAAAAAAAAAGATCTGCATAGAGACATCAGGCTGAATAAATGCTGCCTATATATTTTGGAGAGTATTTAATCTAATTATTTCTCATTGAATGATCATTGAGTTACAGTAATAGCTCAGTAGAGCCGGATGTTTTTGCTCCCCCTAATTTGATCTGTGGCGAGAGCGTATGCTGACTGCGGCAGTAAATCTCCCCAGGACTGCAGGAAGCCGTGTTTGGAGTAATATGAGGGTTTTCCATGCACGATAAAGCCCGAGCCATAACATTTAACCATTATGGAATACATGACTGGAGCTGCACTATTTTACTCTCCTCTCTGCTGCACATCGCACAATACAGCTGACTCCACCATATGCTTTTCATCTGCTGCTCATCTCAAGTGTATGTCTTTTAGAGAGAATAGCTGGAAAAGCACATTTCAAAAGCAATATGATAGAGGAGGAATGGGGCACAGATGTTTGTATTATATTAATATTAAGAAAAAAATGGATTGTCAGACAAAATGTAACCAAGAATGTACATCATCATTTTGAAGAGAATGTAGAATGCAATGGTTTTCAAAAAAGTAAATGTATATGGTAATCAAATCCTTTAAGTATCTTATAATGGCATTGGTTGTATTCTTTCATAATTTATAGATATATTTGTTATGTACATATACATGCATTGTAACATCCCCTATAGAACTCACATTTATATTAACCCTCCTATTGTCTTCGTTTCCCCCCCCTTACTTTGGTGTCCTGTTTTAACTGCTATTACATTAACACAAAAACCATTAATCATCACCACATTTCATTTAACACCCTTTCAAACTGTACATATTGTATCAGACTACTGGTATACATGAAAAACTGCAGTAAATATACAAAGAACAGACACTGAACATGTATTGCGTGTGCCAGGGGTGATCCATGTGGGGGGATGGGCACATAAGAGTGGGAAATGTGTCAAATTGTTCTGTGTGTGTGTGTGTGTGTGTGTGTGTGTGTGTGTGTGTGTGTGTGTGTGTGTGTGTGTGTGTGTGTGTGTGTGTGTGTGTGTGTGTGTGTGTGTGTGTGTGTGTGTGTGTGTGTGTGTGTGTGTGTGTGTTTTTGTGTGTGTTTTATCTGATCCGGATGGTTACTAATTCCTTTTCTTTATGGAGGGAACACCATGGGTGTTACAAAGTTGACTAAATCATCCAAAATTCAATGAAAGTGGTGATCAGCAATTGTATATGTTCAAATGTCTACTGTGAAGGATATCATAAAGCCTTAATGCAATCGAATGTAAAACAAAAAAGTTATGATTGATGAAAGTAGTAAATCGGTCAGATTTGACCCGAAGACAACAGGAGGGTTAAGCAAACAATTTGACCCTGATGATCACAGTTCACATCTTAATTATCTAGAGACAAAAGATGTATTGTTGCTTACCTCAGAACTGCTGTTCTGTGTGTATTGTGAGCAGCACTATTCAAGAGGAAGATACTGTAGATGTTTAATATAGCTTTGTGATTTAAGAGAGATGAAAGTAAAACCCATGTTCTTGTGTATGGATGACTGAACAGTCTCAGTTTTAATGATATGGCTTTACAAAACCCTGAAATACTCTGGAATATGCACAATTTAAATATGTAAATGTTTTTATTATTTATTTTATTGTAATAAGTGTGTCTCCAAAGCACGGAATAAAATGCAACATGCAATAGGTTCAGGTGAAAATAAAAATGCAGCTTTTACATTAACCTTGAAAAAATATATAATAATAATAACTCTTTGTTTAAACTGGGTATAAACCGGAATCTTCTTTATTACAAAAATACTATTGTGTCATTCATAATTGCCACCATTGTCAAACACATTATTTATGTGTTTGACAATGGTGGCAATTATGAATGACACAATATTATTTGTTATGTTTAACAAAAGAGTGGATTTTGGATTGTTGGGAAAGACCAAAGATCCACTAATTATTACTATACAATATAATATTTTTATCTGGCCATTTTATTTGATTTCTTTATTTATATATCTATATGTATTTGTTCTTACTTTACCTCATTATCTTTACAATTATTTTCATTATTTTCAATATATTTGTAATTACTTCATAATAAAATGAAGGATCTGTCTCAAAAACAAATTTTCCTCTGGATAAATAAAGTATTCTGATTGTTTTGGAAATATTAGTTATTTATTAAATGTAGGGTTTTTCTGTTTGTACCGTGCTAACCTCCCCCCTCTGTCCGGTTTCAGGCCTCCATGGTGGGCTCAGGGATCTTCTTCCGCCGGGCTGTGGAGCTCAGTACCGGAGCTGCCTCTGCACGTCAACCCCACCTGACCTACACCTCCCCCCACCTCCACCTTAACCTGCACCGTGCTTGTGCAGAGGATCACCATGGAAACGCCAAACCTGCGCACGAGGCCGCCCACAAACTTTGACTTTCCCCCTGAACTGGGGGGCTTTTACGGGACAAGAGAAAGGACTTCAGTGAAGCAGTGTGACACATCTCCATTCCCTTTTAAATTATTTATTTATTTTTCTACAACGGCGGACCACGGGGACTTTTCTTTCTCTTTTTCCTATTTTTTAGGTAAAGCTTTACCCCTAAATAGCCTACCCCCTTCCAAATAAACATTGTACATAGAAACACACCTCTCCTTTAAAGGACAAAACACAAAAAACACTGTGAATATCTTTTTTTTAAATATGAGTATTCGGTGAGAGTTTTAATTGTTGTGCTGTATAGTTGTGTGTTTATTTGGCTGTTTCCATCCATGTTTGCGCTTGTGATCACTAGTGAGCTTTCACCAATGACATGTTGTTTTTTATTCTAACATCAATTAAGATTTTTAAAGGAAACCATCTCTGTTTCCGTGCACTGCATCTCTTTCTTCTGATTCATTCTCCTTGTGTTCTTATACATTTAAAAAGACTTTCTGAGGAAACATGGAATTTCCTTTTTCTTTTAATAGTTTTTAGCACCAAAACACAGAAGAAGTCTGCACTAAAAACCAAAATAAAGACTCAATTGAGGAAGACAAAACACGGCGTGATTTAATGGCGGGAGCAGATCGGTCTGATTGTTTTCGTTTGGTTATTTTCCTGAGGTCTCACTTTAAAAAAAACCCGGAGGAGAAAGGTCAGCGTAGGCGTCGGAGAAAACGGTTTAAAGCGGCATTAGTTGTGCTGCAGGTCACGTTCTCCGGTTCGATATGAGACGGGATTGCGATTGTCTCGCGTTATTCGATTGATGGTGACAGGGATGATGGATGGCCTGGCTCCAGAGTTCAGGAAAAATCAGAGCGGGCAGCTTTCACTGACTGTTGTTGCTTATTCAGCCTGGATGAGGGAATCCGTGTCAGGAGAAAAAGGGTTCAGAGAGATGAAAAAAAACAAAAAACGGTGCTTTAAGTCTTTGTTCCATAGAAATTAAAACATTTTCGTTTTCAAGAAACACTGCTGATTTTTTCCAAGTATTTTCTAAGCTCAGAATGAACACAGAAACTCCGGAGAATGAATAAATAAAGGCACCGGGGCCTCATTTATCACTGTCAGCCGGTAACGATCCTCCGGGCTGCATGATGAAGAGAGCCGGGCCAGAGGAGGCTGTCTGGGCGGGATGAGGCCTAAATGTCCCTGGATGCGTATTAATAAATATTCATTTTAATCGACAAAAAATCGATCAAACCCATCATAGCTTTAAACCTTCATATCCGGAGATGTACTGCTTTACAAGCTGTCTAAATACATTTTAAAAAAGGGAGAAGAAATATGTAATATTATTGTCATTATTATAATTATTGTTATTATTATTATTATTATTATTATTATTATTATTATTATTATTATTATTATTATTATTATTATTATTACTACTACTATTATTGTGATTATTATACTGGTTATTGTATTTTGATTAATTAAAAAAGTGATTTTTACAGGAGATGACAATTTGTCCAATTAAAGGCCACTTCCTGCCGCCAGGTGCTGTCACACTGCCATCCCATAAACAGCCTCTGAGCCACATTCACCTTTTAAATCGTTTCATTGAGCACATAATGACTTGCTGCCTTAAATAGTGATTGCTTAAAGCATGATGTTTAGCCTCGGATGAGTCTTAGCTGCCGGCCTGGATGAGTACCGGGCCTTTTCCGAGGCTGTTTATATTCCATTTGGCCCTTTAAATGGTGCAACATAAAATGAGTAATACATTTAAAACGAGTATTCTCCTTGGGTGTAAAAAACAGAAACAGATGGCTGAATGCAATCGAAAACACAACTACTTTAGTTTCAACAAATATAACACTGCTGGTTCTTTTTTCTGCTCAGTGCTGTTTCAAAGGCGTTCATAATTAGATTGTAAAAAACAGCAATAGTCTGCAGTTTTCTCACAATTTACCCCTTTCTATATTTTCAGCAGATAAATACTCCAAATTACATGTGTTAAGGTGCCAAACGGACATGTATTTGGATCATCTTCTGTGCAACACAGAGGTCAATTCATTTCATTTCATTTCAAACCTTTATTTAACCAGATTGGTCCCTTGAGATCATAGATCTCTTTTTCAAGGGAGACCTGCAATATTGTGGAATATATTGTGGCTCGTATATGGAAGAGCAGAATAAAGACAAATGCAGAGTGGAATGGGTTTCTCTGCATCTCTCTCGCATATGAGCAGGCCTAATTCACTCAGCGCTGCCGACTGAGCTGAAGATAAATGCGTTCTGAAGGCTGCCGGAAACGAGCGCCTCTCCGCTTGAAATATGGGTCAAAGCTCCCGCAGAAGCTGCATCACATGATGCACAAACTCTGCTTCATGCACACAATCCCTCCCAACAACAGCAGCGCATCCACGCTATTGGAGAGTGTCATTATAATGTTTCTGCTGCACTTTTTGGCATTTGAAATATCATATTCCCAAAAAGTTCAACAGGAATATCATAGAAAAAATGACTACAATGCATTCGAATACTGTATGGGGTCTCAACACATTATTATGTTGCTATTACAGGAATATTGGTCTTTACAAGAAGGTAACAATAAACTGCTCAAATGTATGTGATATTAAGAGGGAGGCCAACCATACTACATAAAAAACATATATTAAAAACAGAGGCACTGTCAAATATACTAAAGGCATAATGGCTACATGGATACACATGGCCAGAATATTGTAAATATTATAAATACTCACCTTTGTTTAGGCTTCCAAAGTGTCTTACCGGCTGTAGACATTGAGGTAATGCTTTCCATGTGTTTTGTGCAATTAGCTGATTCCAGTACAAATTCAATATATTTACATTAGACTTTTTAAACAGTGTTATTACAGCTCTTTATATAACCCGTTGAATTGTTGTGTGAACGTTTTAAAGACACCACTTTCAGCTAATGTCAAAATGACTGTTGTGTGACTTCACAAATTCCAAATAATTCTAAATTCTAAGTCTACATTTCCATTTACTTGTCACCAGAGAAAGAGTCACCAAGTGCCTTCTACAGGGAGGAGTGAACGCGGCAGTGATTTTAAATATCCTCTTGTAATATGCATGTACACATAATATATTCAGTGGTGCTATGTGCCCAGCTATTGCTGTAGAGCAAAATGTTCAGAACAATAGCTACAAATATGTTAAGAGGACTTTTTAATTATCAGAAATGTTCCTTTAAGTATACTGTATACTGTCAACGGAATAATGTATTTCAAAATAAAATAAAAGGCTTCACTTTGGTAAGGGAAAAAATACAAAGGTAGTGATACCACTCCAAAAATACTATACTGAATATACTACTTTTTATTCTTTTAAATATATTTTATCTATAGCAGGGAGTCATATTTTGTGAATGATAATACACTTTGTTTGTTAAGTCTTAATCTACAAAGTTACAATCAACTCAAATGGAAATTAAAGTACCTAAAAACTTGAGGACAGTTACTTTAGGTATGTAGGTATACTCCTGACATCACCATTAACTCATGTTGTGTGTGCACTGCTACACACTCCCTCTTCTCTGGGTCTCTTTTCTTTCCTTCTTTGTGTCCTCTGCTGTTCCTTCCAGGCCTCTTGAGCTCTGTCCCCTAAATCAATAAAGAGATTTTTGGTTTCCATGTAATGACAAACTTTCTCTGTCAGTGAGCGAAGATATAAATCACACTCAAATCTCATTTCGACCAACTAATTCCCTTCAACACTAATGGCTCTAAATGTTCTAATGTTGAGTAACACAAGCTCCCTGATTACTTCACCTTGCATAGTGGCAGGTAGGAGAAATGGAGCTAATGTCTGGAGACATGGCGTGACCAAAGCTCCGGGTCAGCCCTGTCAAACACTATTTTACATCTGAACTGTATATCCCCCCCTCTAAAGCACGATCCACTCTGAGCATCAACATGGATGATCGTAAACTCACAAGAGATGGATCTTTGGTTAAGCTACGGTTTACATTTAAAACCAAGAAAATCAGGTGCAAAGTAAGTTCTTTACAATGTTTTATTTGCTACACCACATGCAGGAGGTCAAAGGTCAGAGTTGAGAAAGTGGCAGATAGAGTGGTGCAGGAATGAGTTCCGAAACCCTTATGTGAAAAGAACCTCACCACCTTTGGTTTCCCCGTATTTAAAGGTGGGGTATGTAATTTATTTCAGAAACACTTTTTGTTATATTCCATGGAATGCTCTTAACATCCCGATAGCAATGAATACATTAAATGCTTTGACAATAAATACATAAAAAAATGTCATCTGTGGAAGCTGTAGCGATGTAAAAAGCACGACCAATCATTTTAGCCGGCCCGGCTAAAATAACTGGATGGCCTACCTGCCTGTCAGCCTTCCATCTGTGCACAAACTTATCCCGTGCCCTCATTGGTCATGTGCGCGTTCGTGTGTGTTGGAGGAGGGGCTCTGTAAGGAAGTGGCAGATTTTTTCCGGTTGTGTATTTTCAAATTCTAGCGCACTCGAGCTGGTTTCTCCAAAATTACCTACCCCACCTTTAAGTCAACGATTTTGGTTAGATGCCTGAAGCAAGATCTGTGGTTAACACAAGCTGAAGAGATTTTAACGTTTTGTTCTTCAACATAAAAACCCCACTGGTGAAAGTCAAAAGCTTCTATGTGTCATAAAAACGACGGTTGCTAACAAGTAAGTAAATGAGACTACTCACCATCATCACGCAGAACATTAGCCGCCTTTAGCTTAGCGGTGGTGACGTGATGCCATGAGACTTTGATGTAGTTTGTTTAAAGCCCAACATTAACTTTTTACTTCTGGTGGTTGCAATTAGGCTTGAAAAAAAAAAATTGCTGTACATATGTGGAGATTCTCCTGCTGAAAAAAACATATGAGTGTTCATAAATGCGTGTTTGCCACAAAGCTTACTTTCTGCAATCTTCTGAAATCCGATAGAAAAATCCCATATTTTTTGTTGTCAAAGGAGCCCTTGCGGTTAAAATGTTTGATAAACTTGCTTGGCATTTCCTTTTTGAAACTTGTCAAAAATGTGTCTGTAATAATAACTCAAAATTCTTCAGGCTATGTATGGCATTTCAGAAAACTAAGTTAGAGTTTCTGGACTCTGTCTTCAATCGGATGTGATGTATGGACAACGACACAGTGACAGCTGATTTTAAACCTATGCATTAAACCTTTATCAATCAAGGAATGGAAAGTTGGAATAGAGAGATCTTTATTCGGATAAACCGTTGAGATAAATCCTCTCCTTTATAAGATGGTCATTAAATATACAGAGAAAATGACACGTGGAAGTACATAGACACACATTCAGACAACACCTTCCTAGGCTTTCTTATCTCACTCCAACTGACTCATGCACAATACATATATTTCCATATGTCAGGTGTAGTTAAAAGCAAGAGCAGGTTGTTTGAAGATATGCAAGAGGAACTTACTTATTATCGTTAATACAAAAAAAAGGTTTGAAACAGGTCTAAACCATTAGAAATGCATGAGTGAAACACTCTGGATTTGAGTTAAGAGG